CAGGCTTGGCAAGCGCGTCCGCCTCCATCTGTGGGAAGGAGACAGACTCGCAGGGTGACTTCCAGGCGCGCGTGGGAGACTGCGCTTCCCACCCCACGTTCCAGAACTTGGCCTCCCAACTCAACAGTCTGCCCAAGGCATCCAGCCAGTGTGTGCACCACGGACATGCCCTCTTGTCTGGCCGACCAGCTTGGGGCTGCAGGGTTAGCGGGGAGTTCCTGTCCCCTGTCGGTGACCTCCTGGCTGTGTGAACTTGGGGCGCTGTTGCTCCTCTCAGGCTGTTTCCTCATTAAGTAAGTGTGTGCAGTGGTTCCTCCTCCACACAGGTTTGCTTTGTGGATTCAGCGAGATCACATGCGTCAAATGCAAGTTAGCCCCCCTCTGCTCGCAGGGAACAAATAGTGCCAGTGGGCGGGCGCTGGGTTCTCTCTAGATGCCCAGCCACACTAGCATCTCTGTGTATGAGAGTTGCCCTTTATCGAATCTCTCCCTTCGCCAAGTCAGCACCTTGCTTCGTAAACTCTTTCTTTCTCATCTTAAAAAATAAAAAGCCGGGTGCTAGAAGCTCACACCTGTCATCCTAGCTACTCAGGAGGCTGAGATCTGAGGATCGAGGTTCAAAGCCAGCCTGGGCAAGAAAGTCCCTGAGACTCTGACCTCCAATGAACCACCAGAAAACTCGCAGTGGCGCTGTGTCTTAAGTGGTATAGCACTTGCCTTGAGCTGAAGGACTCAGGGACAGTGCCCAGGCCCCACAACTAACACAAGCAAAACAAAAAAACCCTCATTGTTTACTCTCTTTAACTTTTTGTTTTTTTTTTTTTGTTAGTGTGGGGCTTGAACTCTGAGCCTGGGCGCTGTCCCTCAGCTCTTCAGCTCAAGGCTAGCGCTCTACCATTTGGGCCACAGCGCCACTTCTGGTTTTCTGATAGTTAATAGAGAGAAGAGTCTCATGGACTTTCCTGCCCAGGCTGGCTTTGAACTGCGATCCTCAGATCTCAGCCTCCTGAGTAGCTAGGATGACAGGCACGAGCCACTGGCACCCAGCTATTTTTTTAAATGGAATTAAACTTTATTTTCTTTATTTTTAAAAAAAATTATCTTTAAGTGGTTGTACAAGGAAGTTCCCATTCTACAAAACAGTATATGAATACAAGGTGTCTGATCATTGTCACCCATCGCTCCTAACCTACCCCTTCTCTCACTTTCTTTTCTTCTTTTTTTATTAGGTGATTACATAAATTTCACTTATTTCACAGTATTGTGGAAGAGCGATACCTAGTCTCTCTAATTTTTTTTAAAAAAGTAGTTGTACAAAGGATTTTCAACTCAGTGTGTCAGCTTTTGCATGCCAGGCATGGCGATCAGTGCTACCTTTCTGCCATGCTCCTTCCCACCCCGCCTCTCCCAACTTCCACTTCAAACAGGCACTCACACTGTGACTGAATTTGCCCACCCTTCTGCTCTCCACCCAGTCACCCCTCCCCTTAAACTCCACCCTCCGCAGGGAACACACAGGTTTCATCTTCCTGGCAGTCATTGTGTTCAGCTGTTAAAAGTGTCCTGATTCTCAGAATGTGTTCGGGAAGCTGCAGTGAGTGCCCAGGGGAGCCCCCCCCCCCACGGCCCCCGCCCTGCCCCCACCTCCCCTAAGCAGGTGAGGATGGAGGAGGAGGACAGACACTGTCTGATGGTTTCGGGCCACGTCTTGTGCTTCTGTCTCAAGTGTGATGGGCCAGAAACCACAGAATCCTCCCTTCCAGCCTTCTGTGGCACCTGTGGATTGGTACAGCCCGGCCAAGCTGTGAGGAAGTGATGCCATCTCTGTTGAGAGTGCAGCCCCAAGTGTGCCTTCTGGGCAGAAAAGGATCCCTTGAAAATACTGTCACTGAGTAGCCTAGACACCGCCCAGGCCTGTGATGGTTGAAGCCCCAGGGTCTCGGCTTAGGTTTTTTTTTTTTTTTTTGGTCATTTGTGGGGCTTGAACTCTGGGCCTGGGCGATGTCCCTGCACTCTTCAGCTCAAGGCGAGCGCTCTACTGCTTGAGCCACAGCACCACTTCTGGTTTTCTAGTGGTTCATTGGAGAGAAGAGTCTCACGGACTTTCCTGCCTGGGCTGGCTTTGAACCGCGATCCTCACATCTCAGCCTCCTGAGTAGCTAGGATGACAGTTGTGAGTCACCGGCGCCTGGCTCTGCTTAGGTTTTTACAGAGCAGAAGTGGACAGACTTTTTCCTATCAAGGGCCACAGAGTGAATCTTGTAGCCTGTTGGGGTGAGAGATCAACTCCCTGGTGACAGAGGGAAAGCAGCCCATGCATGGAGCTGCGATTCCAAATAAAATTGTATTTACTAAAAACAGGTGCAGGCTGGACTTGGCCTGTGGGCTGCCTGTCGCCGGCCCGGCCAGTAGACATTAGAGAGGCAGCTGTGCATACCGGGTGAGAGCAAGGGCGTTAGAGCTCTTTGTCTGCCTCTTCCTAGCCCAGAGACTTGGGATTGTCACGAAATGAAGGGCCCCCTGGGTATCTCCCGCAGGGAGAATCCAGGTCCAGGAGCCGAGGGAGATCAGCCTGCTGGGAAGAGCTTTTGGGGAATGAGTGACTTCAGGTACCCTGAAGGCTATTTGGGAGTTTATTTGCTTCTTCCTCAAGCATGAAGTCTAAATGAGGGAAAAAGGAAAAAAATAATAACCACGTGGCCTTTGCTAAGTGCTGAGAAGGTCACTGCGCCGAGCCAGCACCTGGCTGTCACGGCCGGCCGGCCGAGCAGGGAAGCGGAACCAGTCCAACGAGTCGAGCCAACAAGGAAAAATCAAAATGTCCACTCCAGTGATGTTTGGCTTTTGTAACGTGTATACGATGGAACTGGTCGGTGGGGGAAATATCAGTGAAACATCTCCTCCCCTGCTCAAGGCCTGGTAGTTCATCCTCCTGCAAAACTTTGCCAGCCGTGGGTTGGGTGCTGCTGCAGGCTGGGGAGGGGGGAGGGGAGAGAGTCTGCACATGCACTCATGGTCACTCCTGTGCATGGGAACAGACCGGCAGGGATCCCGGCTCAACAGAACGGGTTTGTGGCTGCCTATGTCACCCACCTCTGGAAAACCAGCCGTCTTCCATGGGTCTCTGACTCCCAGAGACTCCCTTCCCAGCTCCCTTCCCCAGTCTTGCTGTCTCTTCCAACCTGGGCATCTCCTTTGTAGTTGATTTCCAAACCCACCTATCCATTCACCCACTAAGAAGCATTTGATTGTGGATTATGTACCAGCCAATAATATTATAAGGAGAACAGAACAAAACTTTATTAGAATGGGTTTTTAATTTTAAAAAGTGCACTAACCGGGCGCCAGTGGCTCACGCCTGTCATCTTAGCCACTCAGGAGGCTGAGATCTGAGGATCCCAGTTCAAAGCCAGCCTGGGGCAGGAAAGCCCCTGAGACTCTTCTCTCCAATAAACTTCAGAAAGAGCCAGAAGTAGAGCTGTAGCTCAAGTGGTAGAGAGTTAGCCCTGAGCAAAGAGAGGCCCAGGACAGGCAAACAAACAAACAAAACCACAAGACAGGATACCCATAAGGTTTATGTGTATATGTTGGGAAGATACCTTGTTTTGTTCTTAAGAGCTGTCACAATGTAGAGGGGCTGTTTTAATAGTAAGGTTGCTGCTTCCTTCTCCTCTTAACACAGCGCTGTTGGGAATCTATACAACACTTGCACACTTGTGTCTGGACACACACTTGCACACTTGTCTGAGCGTTTCCATAGCCTAGCATGCTAGCAGTACGCATGCGTTCATTTTTTACTTTTTAGCAAAGTTTTATTTTTAAGTAAGTTAGGATAAAGAAAGAAATGGGAAGAAGGGGGGCAAACATTTCCTGTCCTCCCCCCTCACAGGAAGTGGGAGTAAAGACTCTGAACCTTTCCCTCTCAATTGATTGACCCTTCCAGACCTTTCTCTCTCCTCTTCAGAAGCAGTGTTGACGAATGAACTCTCTGCTCAAGTTGCTGCTTTCCCTACAGCCTCCCCCTTGCTGACAGAATTCTGTCTTTGTCTGTGTTGTGGGGGCAGTTTGAATATGGACTAATCCTTGAGCAAAGCAAACATCCAAAGCCATGAATCCTCTTTTTGGATCCCAGCGCTCTGGTTTTTTTGTTTTTATGTGCCTTGAACTCAGGGCCTGGGCGCTGTCTCTGAGTTTGTTGTTGTTGTTGTTTCAAAGCTAGTGCCCTATCATTTGAGCTACATCTCCACTTGGTGATTGGAGATAGACCCTCACAGACTTTCCTGCCAGGGCTGGTTTCAGATCTCTGCTTCCTGAGTAGCCTGGATTACAGGTGTGAGCTACCAGTACTGGACTCCCAAGCCCTCTAGCTTCAATTTGTATAGAAATGAAATCTTTCCTCCACAGAGTTGTTGTTCTCCCTCCCCCCCTCACACCCCCGTTTGTCATTCAGTGTCACATTCCTCAGGATGTCAGCTGCAGACCGGGAACAAGCTTCCTGCTTCCTTCCACACAACAGCTGTTCACAGGATACAAATGAGGGGAAGATGACATGTCCTGAGGGTTTCAGGCCCCCTTGAGCACTCCCCAGTGGGGGTCACTGTTACTGCTCTGCATCTCTACCCCTAAATACCCATCACAACTGATTTAAAAAAAAAATATTAGACTGACCCACGTGATTCTACATTTGGGCTGAATCAGGTGGGTCATTGTATTTGTGCACACGTATGCAATCTCTCCCAGGCCTGCCTTTCTGTCTCGGTTTTATTTTTATTTTATTTTATTTTTGCCAGTCCTGGGGCTTGAACTCAGGGCCTGAGCAGTTGTCCCTGAACTTCTTTTGCTCAAGGCGAGCGCTCCACCACTTGAGCCACAGCGCCACTTCCAGCTTTTTCTGTATACGTGGTACTGAGGAACCAAACCCAGGGCCTCAGGCACGCTAGGTGAGCGCTCTACCACTGAGCCACCTTCCCAGCCCTTCCCTTGGTGTCTCTTCTCTACAGGTGTTCGAAGCCGTCATTTCTTGGATCAACTATGAGAAGGAGACCCGCCTGGAACACATGGCCAAGCTCATGGAACATGTCCGACTCCCCCTCTTACCTAGGGATTACCTCGTTCAGGTAAGCGCCGGCCCGTTTCCCTAGACCTCAAGGGATAGCGGGGTGGGCCTGGGGCCTGGGCCAGGGGTATGTTCACAGCACCGATCCCAGGGCGGGCACCTAGGTCTCCCACTCTGCTCAGCTGCTCAGGGCTTTTATTCCCCCTCCCCAAGTGTCATCTTCTATAGGCAGCAGTTATGTAGGTCCCAGCAGGGACTAAGGGAAGTGTCCGTGTGCACAGCCAGGTATTAGACAGGGAGCCCCGCAGAGCAAGTTTTCTAGTAGAGAAGCAAAGCACAAGGGGTCGTTTCTACTCGGGTATTGGGGGCTCATGCTAAGATCCTAGCTCCTCAGGAAGCTGAGGTTCGAGGATTGAGATTTGAAATCAGCCCAGAAAAGTCTGTGGAATGTTTATTCCTAATTAACAGTCCTCCCCATCCCCCCTAAAAAAGCCAGAAGCATGGTATGGCTCAAGTGGTAGAATGTCAGCTAAAAGACAGTGCCCAGGCCCTGTGCATAGATACACTCACAGACATATATATATAAGCACTGCATATGTTGGATAACATATATACACGTACATGTAGGTGTATCTCTGTATAAATACACACACATGTGTGTTGCATGTATGCATGCTTTTACCTCTTCCAAGGTAGGAAGGAGAGCTGTGGGGTGCCTGGTGAGGCCCCATGGCTTCTCCTGTGGTCCCCTGCGAGGTGACACTTGCTTCCCCTTTTTACAGCCGAGGGCCTCAGGCCGTGAAGCTGAGGGTTGATCTGGACTCCTCGGGCCACAGGCAGGAGGATCAGGGTTCGAATCCACAGCAGCCTGGCCCTGGGGCACACAGTTCTGTGAGCCACAACGGGGGCTGCTTTCTGTCCTGTTTGTCCATCACAGAACTGTCCCCCTGGGGTTCTGCGGGGAAGGGAGGGTACGACTCGGGGGGGGGGGCCAGCTCTGGCTCCTCCCTGCCGTGCCTACCCACTGAGACCCCCCTTTTTCTCATTTGGCCACAGTAGTTTCCACCCTGGTAGGGGTCAGAATGAGACAATCCACACAAAGGCTTCCCAGTAGTGTTCTGTGACTTCTGGCGACACCGCGTACCTAAAGTGTTCTGCCTGACGCCATGGGCCACATGGACCCGAAGGGATCAGCAATGAGTTAGTTCTCCATCTCCTTTGCAAGTGCCCCTCCACCCCAGACTAGCCACGGGGGGCGCACTGCCACCACCTGGTGGCCACATAGCCTTTCAGGTGAGAGGTCCTTAAAAAGGAGGGACTGGGCCTGACCCCCAGGCCCCCAGGGTCACCCTTTAAACCTTCCCCTGCCCCGTGGAAGGCTCAGGCGGATGCGGGGCTGGGGTGGGCCTCTGGCTTCCACCACCAGTTCACTGCCCATAGCGTCCCTAGCCCAGACTCACCAAATTCATTAGGAAACCATGTGATGGGGAAAAAAAAGGGGGTTGGATCTGACCGGGAAGGAAGTCAGGAAGTGAAGAACGATTGTGTCCCTCCCCCTCATTGAAAATATTAACGGGAAAAGTCAGGCCTCACCTCCGGGAGAGGATGTTTTATTCCTACTCATGTGACCTTGAAACTCCAAGCGAGTCCAACTGGCTGATGGAGGAGCAGGGGTGAGGAGAGCTGGGGAAAGCCCAGCATGACACTGCCTGGCTTTATCTCCCATGTAACCTCCCCTTCTTCCTCTATCCCCTCCCTCACCCCCAACCTGGCTCTCCTTTCACCACAAAACATACTCTGGGGCCACACGTCCCAAACCCCAGATGAAGTCCCTCCCCGGATAGATGATAAGGTCTGAGGACGGTATGAGTGTCCATCCGACATCTCTCTGTTTACTGATGACCATGGCAGACCCCATGTGATTCCTGACAAAGTCTTTTTTTTTCCTTGTCGGTCGTGGGGCTTGAACTCTTGGTCCTGGGCGCTGTCCCTCAGCTCTTTAGCTCAAGGCTAGCGCTCTACCACTTGAGCACAGCAGCACCACTTCTGGTTTTCTGAGTGGTATGTTGGAGATAAGAGTCTCATGGACTTTTCTGCCCAGCCTGGCTTTGAACTGCGATCCTCAGATCTCAGCCTCCTGAGTAGCTAGGATGACAGGCGTGAGCCTGGCTGTTTTTTTGTTTTTGTTTTTTAATAACCTTATATTAGTTACACAGGAGAAAGTTTCATCATTATGTCTCCATATACGTTAGAAGCAGCTCCCCAAGTGTTGCTCTTTCCTGGATAGAGCTTCTCACTCCCATCTTCTCTAACCGTAAACATTCATGATTTATTTCAATCTGGTTTCACACACACACACGCGCACACGCGCACACACACACACACACACACACACACACATGATTTATTTCAATGTGGTTACACACACACACACACTTTTTAGGAAACAGGCCAGCCCAGGCCTCTGGGGAAGGAAGTGACGCCGTGGCCACAGTGTCATTCCCCGTGACAGTGGAGGGCCCCAGGGGAGGCTTCCCCAGGCCCTGTGCATGGTCGGCGGGAGGGCCGGTGTCATTGACATGGAAGCCTTCCTGCTCCGTGACTACTCTGAGCTCCTCCGCTCAGGAACCTGGTCTTGCTCATCAGTTTCCTCCTGGGGCCCAGCTAAGAGGCAGTCCATCCCAGTCGCTGTCCGTCGGAACGAACCTTTCCCCACACCATGTAGCTTCCGAAGACCCATCGTCCCTTCTGAGATTCAGCTCATGACCCTCTGGCCTGCACAGAAGAGGCAGGTTTGAGAATCAGAGCTTGAACGCCCTCCCCTTTAGCCTGGCTTGCAAAATACTTAGGCTGACATCTGTTGAAGTCCTGCCCAAGTCCTGAGCCCTGGAGTATGAGGTGGAGAGCCCACGTCCCAGCTTACTTAGATGGGGCCTAAGGTGGCACCAACAGGTAGGACTTGGCACAGGACATTCTTCCTGCATGGCAGCTTTTCTCTTTGAGACGTGGACTATAAGAAAACAGAAGCCAAGTGCCAGTGGCTCACACCTGTCATCCTAGCTAGCTTAGGAGGCCAAGATCTGAGGATTGTGGTTCGAAGCCAGCCTGGGCAGGAAAGTCCGTGAGACTCTTATTAACCAGCAAAACACCAGAGGTAGAGCTGTGGCTCAGATGGTAGAGGGCCAGCCAGTGGAAAAAGCTAAGAGGTAGTACACACACACACACACACACACACACACACACACAAACACAGAGCTAGCTAGCTAGCTAGCTAGATAGAAATCAAGACTCTTCTTAGCCCCTTATTTCACTCAAAGGCTGACCATTAGTACGCCACCTTCTTCCTTCTCTCCCTCCCTTACCTTCGCACTGATCTCTGTCTGGCTATCCTACACATTGTAATGCAGCCAGAGCAGAGGAAACATGGGAAGAGGCTTTTCAGGACAACTTGCCCATCTTTTGTTCTCCATGAACCAACACCGCCAAGTGAGGTGGTTACACGTGTCTGGCGTGCACGGTTTACAAATGGGGAAACTGAGGAACCCAGGCCTTAAGTGGCAGAGCCGGTATTTGAGTCGGTCAGCACTCAATGCCTTCGCCCCTCGGGCAGTGGAAATCCAGGGCTGACCGGGTCGTCCCTGGGCCGACCTGGCTCTCTGGGTCTGGGGTAAGGCCCTGTGGGAATGGATGACCGAACAGACAGTGCAGGCGTGGGAAAGGGGCCTAGCCCCGCCCCGCGGTCACCCGTGGCTGTCTGCAGACGGTGGAGGAAGAAGCTTTGATAAAGAACAACAACACCTGTAAGGACTTCCTCATCGAGGCCATGAAATACCACCTGCTCCCCCTGGACCAGAGGCTGCTGATTAAGAACCCCAGGACGAAGCCCCGGACTCCCGTCAGCCTGCCCAAGGTAAGTCCCAGCCCACGCTTGCCAGCGGCCGGGGCTGTGTCCGGCTCTTCCACTTCTACCGCCAAGTCTCTCCCCTGACCCTGTGCTGCCCGGGCCCAGCGCCTTGTCACATTTATGACTTAAGGGATGGGGTCTGCTCATCCGTCTCGAATCTGACAATGTCCTCTATCCACTGGGCTTTCCTTGCCTAAGAGTTTCATCCAGAGCGGCCTCCAGCAGGTTCAAGAATGGCCTGGAAGTCTTCCTCCTCACTCACTTCTCTCTGCTCTCAGTTTCTGTTGGAAACAGAGACATGGCCTGTGTCTGTCTTGACTGAGTGATGACCACCACAGCCCTGGTTCTAGGCTATTCTTTGAGGTGGAAAAGTCACAGACTGGGAGGGGAGGGCCCTGGGTGGGGGGGGGGAAGGGGGAAGCAGAGCAAGGGAGGGGGGAAGCAGCAGGGGAGGGAAGTGGAGAGTCTCAGCCTGGTGCTCACTGCTGAGGAGGCCCCTTCCCTGCCTGGCCCTACCTGTAGAATGAGGGACGTGATTCTCAGGGGTCCTTAAAGCTCTTTGTCGCCTGGCATCGGGTCGTCTGTCTAGGAGTCTAACACACGGTGTCTGAGGAAAGGCAGGGGAAGGAGGAGCCAGCAGGCTCACCAACCACGCCGAAAGCAGCAGTAGGACATTATTTAGACCCTTGCTGTGGTCTCCTCTTCCTCCTCCCTATCCTTCTCCTTCCCCTCCTTCCCCCCTCCTCTCCCTCCCCAGCTGGCTCCCCTCCTTTTCCCTCCTTCTTTCAAGAAGGTGTCACAAGATATAGAAAAACACATTGTTGCCCAAGACCATCAGTTCTCTGACCTTGGCTTTCTTTAACTCTACAAATAAGTGCTCGTTGTATGTTACTAAGAAAGACATTGCAACTTAGAAATTAAAAACCACCTGAAATCTCTCTACCATAGCGACAGACTGTTTTGAAGCTATAGGGCTTTGAACTCAGGGCCTCATTCTTCCTCTAGGCAGGTACTCTGCCACTTGAAACAGGCCTTGGGTCTATCGCTGCTTTAATGTTCTTGGTATGGGTGAGTTCGGAGCTACAGTTGTATTGGACACATGAAATTTTGACATATGTCTGCATTGTTGTCTTCTAGTAATAGGCCTTTGAGTCATTTCCATATTTTTGTCGCATCACATTTTTGTGTTAAATATTTTTCATACGATACCATCTTGTAGTTTGCATTTCCTGAACCTCGAATGAGAATAATCTTGGCTTTATGTGATTATTGGCATCTGTAGGGGGGGTTCTCTGTGTTCCTTTCTCATTTTTCTGTTTAATTGTGTGTGTGTGTTTTATCTGTCACTGTAGATCTTCTCTATGTTAAAGAGATTAGGCCTCTGTGTGTGTGTGTGTGTGTGTGTGTGTGTGTGTTTCAACAAGTATTTTATCGTAGTCTGTTGCTTAACTTGTATTTTGTCTCATCTGTGTTTTTTTTTTTTTTCTCAGTGGTATCTTTGGAAGAGTAGAAGATTTTTCTGTGTTTTAAAGATTATTTTAATGAACAAGATTAACATTGTATGTATTTACCACGTGTGGTGGAATGGTAGATTGAGCTAACAGGTAGCACATACACATGTACTCTTTCAATGGCTTCCAACAATGTGATACATGTTCTTATCTATGGTGGGCACCATGTGCGACGCAACGGAGCTGCTGACCTCTATTCCTTTTTTTTTTTGGGTCCAGTTGTGGGGCTCGAACTCTGGGCCTGGGCGCTGTCCCTCAGCTCTTCAGCTCAAGGCTAGTGCTCTACCACTTGAGCCACAGCGCCACTTCTGTCTTTTTTCTTTTTGCTTATGTGGTGTTGAGAAATCGAACCCAGGGCCTCAGGTATGCAAGGCAAGCGCTCTACCACTGAGCCACCTTCCAGCCTCTATTCCTTTCTCACTGAAATTGCACATGCTTGGATCTCCTGGCTCTCTTCCTTCCCCTAAGCCCCTGGCCACTGCAATTCTATTCTGCTTCTATGTGTTCAGTTGTTTTAGGCTCTGCTCATGTGTGAGATCATGCAAGCATTATCTTTTTCTTTCTTTCTTTCTTTTTTTTTTTGTCAGTCATGGGGCTTGAACTCTGTTCCTCAGCTCTTCAGATCAAGGCGAGTGCTCTACCACTTGAGCCACAGTGCCACTTCCCATTTTCTGGTGGTTCATTGGAGATAAGAGTCTCGTGGCCTTTCCTGCCTGGGCTAGCTTTGAACTGTGATCCTCAGATCTCATTCTCCTGAGTAGCTAGGATGACGGGTGTGAGACACTGGCGCCTGGCCATGCAGGCATTATCTTTCTATCTGTGGCTTATTTCCCTTAGCCAAGGATTCCCTAAGGTCCAATCCTGTGACAGATGACAAGATTTTCTATTTTTAGAGGCCTGAGTAATATTCTACTGTGTGTGCATACTTCATTGTCTTTCTCTCCCTCTTCGTTGCTGATAGACACATGGTTGCATATCTCAGCTCTTGTGACAGAGAATGTGGGTGAGCAGGTGTCTCTCTGATGTATGGATTTCCAGTTCTTTCTTTAGACGTCCACCCAGTCATGGGACTATTGGATGATAAGTTTTTTTTTTTTAATTTTGCATGTATTTCTTAAAAGAAACTTAGAGCAGAAGTTTAAAAATATTTCAGTTCTGTTCTGTTATGGTTTGAGTTCTATCTAATAAAAATAAAAAATCTGTGGGGTTTCTGTAATCCTAGCTACTCAGGAGGCTGAGAGCCAAAGATCAAGATTTGAAGAGCCAGCCAGGGTAGGAACTTCCGTGTGACTCTTATTTCCAATTGACCACCAAAGAGCTAGAAATGGAGCTATGCCTGGAGTGGTTTAGTACCAGCCTTGAATGAAAAAGCTCAGGGACAGTGCCTAGACCCTGAGTTCAAGCCCCATTGGCACCCACATAAACTAAAATTCAAACAGTTTTTCCTCTACTTTTTTCTAGAAGTGTTAGGCCTTACACTTAGGACTATCAGTCCATTTTGTGAATTTAAAAAAAAGGTTTTCTGAATTACTAGATTGCATTTATTTTGCATATGAGTGTGTAATTGCTACATATCATTTGCAAGATACTTTTTTCTCTAATTATCTTGTTAATCTAATTATCTAACCTAATTATCTAATCTAATTATCTTGTTACTTCTGTTGTTGACAGTTGGTTGCACGTTGGTCTATTTCTAGATTCTATCCCTGTCCATTTATTGGTGTGTCTGTCTTTACACCCACACCCCGTTGTGCTCAGTAACTTTATAGCAAGCCTAGGGGCAGTGTGAGTTCTCAGTTTTGTTCTTCAGAGTTTTGCTGTTCTGTAGTCTTTCGTTAGTCAGCTTGTTTATTTGTGCAAATAAGGGGTGGATGTTTTGATTGGGGTGTGTGTTTGATGGCTAGCTAGATTCATCAAGGAGGAATTGAGATCTGAATCTTCCCATCCACAGAGCCAGGATTTCCATTTGGTTCTGCCTTTAATTTCAGTGATGTTTTACAGTTGCTCAGTATGGGTTTCGCTTGTCTGTGGTCATATTCTTTCCATAGTTTTTGATGCCATTGGAACTGCCTTCTTCTTAAATACTAATCTTTAATAGTGTCTTGCCCATTGGCACACACGTGGTGGATGAGAAATGCTGATGGAGGAGAAGGGAAGGTGAGGCTGGCCATGGCGTCGTGGACGGCCGAGCCGTAGGGGGCGTGGTTTCTGGAGCGTGCTCAGGAGCCTCCGTGGAGACTTGGGGTGTTGTCCAGAGCTCTCCTCTGGGGAGCTGCAGCTTGCAGGACAGCAGGCATTGCTCACCCGTGTCTTGGCCACTCAGCTCAGGTGCTGGCTCCCGTTGGACAATAGGAATGATTTCTCTTGATAACACATAGCTCGCACTGGGGCT